ATGCAGAAGTTCTGTGAACTCAATTCAAAGTGTAAAGTTGACAGAGTTCTCATTCAATACAAAAACTAAATAGCTTCAATCCTTAGTGACTTTACTTCTTGTTTACCTTATGTTGACTAGTGCTGATAGTACAGAGTAGGGTTATATCATTTGAACTGGGAGAGTAGGTGAAGAGATTTTGGTTTTGTGTTGACTGGTAACTGACTGTAGCATTGCTATATAGTGCCTACACAACCGAGGCAATTTAATGAAATACAATAACAGTAGAACTCCCACGAATGTAGCCACACTGAACGCCTGTTTGACTCTCCATTTGTACCAGTTGCCCCCACTTCCTTATTTCCTGGATGTAAATACTTCATCTGGTTTGTTTTGCTCAGCCGCTAAATAGCCACCGACCACCTCGGTCCTCTCCACTGATGGGTCTGAAGCCGCTATTATGGAGCATGCCGATTGACAGTGGCGGGGACAAGTTACTTTAACCTTCAGTTTCCTCTGCAGGCGGACTCAGGCTGCATCCTGCAGCCTATTTACCCAGAGTGACACGCTGAAAAGCCCTGAGATTAAATCTCTATCCCACAGCTCAGCATCATTCATTTGTCCTGGCTCACCTGAGGCCCCGACGCCAGCAAACATTCTCCCCAGAGGCCGAGAGACAACGCAGCACCGAGATTTACTCTGCTAGTCAGGTCAGGCTGCTGGGAGAGCACAGATGTTTGGAGGGCTTTGTTCTGTACTCGTGTCTATGAGCGTGTGCGCGCATTTCAACGTAACCACCTGCCAACTTTCTCCAGTGTCAGTATGTAAGTGTCTGTTTGAGGGTGTGTTTGTCTCCAACTGCCTGCCAAGTTTGTGCATTCATGTGTGTGCTTATGCCTCACAGGTGTGTGAGTGTGTGGCTGAGTGTTTTTCTGCCCGGCAGCGTTGCTGAGTGTGTGGTGGGTCGATCGATGTGCGACTCCTGGTCATTGACAGCGTGTCTTTTGCAGGGTGGCTGCTTTAATACTGGGAAGTGGTGGCTCAATCACAAATGCTGAGGACGGCGCCCCTATAGCTCACCTAGCTGAGCAGGCGACCCATGAACAGGGGCTATAGTTCCCAGACGCAGCAGTCATGGGTTCGACTCCCGCTCACGACCCTTTGCTGCAGTTCTCTCACCTTTCCTGTCTGTCTCTACTGCTTGAAAAGTAAAGGCAAAAAATATATTTAAGCAAATAAAAATGCTGAGGACATCCACACAACTTCTCCCTTCAAGACCCACATTCATATACACGTGGACAAAATTGTTGGTACTTCCGATTAATGAAAGAAAAACTCACAACAGTCACAGAAATTACTTGAATCTGACAAAAGTAATAATAAATAAAAATTCTATGAAAATTAACCAATGAAAATCAGACATTGCTTTTGAACTGTGGTTCAATAGAATTATTTTTAAAAATAAACTCATGAAACAGGCCTGGACAGAAATGATGTTACCCCCAGAAAAGACTGAAAATAATGTGACCATAGGGACATGTTCAATCAAGGTGTGTCCTCTAATTAGCATCACAGGTGTCTACAAACTGTCTATTTATAGGATTACAAGTAGTCACTGTGCTGTTTGGTAACATGGTGTGGACCACACTAAACATGGACCAGAGGAAGCCAAGGAGAGAGTTGTCTCAGGAGATTAGAAAGAAAACCATAGACAAGCATGTTAAAGGTAAAGGCTATGAGACCATCTCCAAGCAGCTTGATGTTCCTGTGACTACAGTTGCACATATTATTCAGAAATTTAACATCCATGGGACTGTAGCCAACCTCCCTGGACGTGGCCATAAGAGGAAAATTGATGACAAATCGAAGAGACGGATAATACAAATGGTAACAAAAGAGCCCAGAACAACCTCTAAAGACATTAAAGGTGAACTCCAAGGTCAAGGCACATCAGTGTCAGATCACACCATCCGTCATTATTTGAGCCAAAGTGGACTTCATGGGAAACGACCAAGGAGGACACCATTGTTGAAAAGAAATCATAAAAAAGCCAGACTGGAATTTGCCAAACTGCATGTTGACAAGCCACAAAGCTTCTGGGAGAATGTCCTATGGACAGACGAGACAAAACTGGAACATCAGCTCTATGTTGGTAGATGCAAAAATGAAGCAAATCAAGAAAAGAACACTGTCCCTACTGTGGAACATGGAGGAGGCTCTGTTATGTTCTGGGACTGCTTTACTGCATCTGGCACAGGGTGTCTTGAATCTGTGCAGGGTCCAATGAAATCTCAAGACTATCAAGGTATTCTAGAGAGAAATGTGATGCCCAATGTCAGAAAGCTTGATCTCAGTCGCAGGTCATGGTTTTTGCAACAGGATAATGACCCAAGACACACAGCTAAAAACACCCAAGAATGGCTAAGAGGAAACCTTGGGACTATTCTGAAGTGGCCTTCTATGAGCCTGATCTAAATCCTATTGAACATCCGTGGAAGGAGCTGAAACATGGTGTCTGGAGAAGGCACCCTTCAAACCTGAGACAACTGGAGCAGTCTGCTCATGAGGAGTGGACCAGAATACCTGCTGAGAGGTGCACACGTCTCATTGACAGTTACAGAAATCGTTTGATTGCAGTGATTGCCTCAAAAGGTTGTGCAACAAAATATTAAGTTAAGGCTACCATCATTTTTGTCCAGTCCTGTTTCATGAGTTCCTTTTGAAAAATAATTCTGTTAAACCACGGTTCAAAAGCAATGTCTGATTTTCATTGGTTAACTTTCATAGAATTGTTATTTATTATTACTTTAGTCAGATTCAAGTTATTTCTGTGACCATTGTGGGTTTTTCTTTCATTAACCAAGGGGTACTAACAGTTTTGTCCACGTGTGTACTTTGTGTGCACAGATATTTATCAGAAAATTATATTTCACCCAAACTAACTCTTTCTCATGGTCATTCTTCTAATAACAAAATGAGACACAGTAACTCAAAACATTACAGCTCAAACTTTAAATTGAACGTTATCAAAACTCAAGCAGTTTCTGTTTCTGGCTATTTTCCAAACAATGCGGCCAAAACAATTTATCCACACTAAGAACAATTAACATCATGCTCAGACTCACTTACAGGAAGTAGTTAATTATGTTACTCCCCTCTGAGATATTTTTCATCACATGAGGAATCATTTTCCTGACATCACTGGGATGTACCAGTGGTTTAGCCTTTCTACAAAAAGTGCTCCACAGGATGTTAATAGTTAGGTGAGAGGCACTCATCCAGGAGCTAATAGCACACAAAAAGCTCACCGCCATTAAATTCACTGCAGCACAGGGGCTGTGTATCTGCTGGCATCGTTGGGCAACTGTGACATGAACACCAGCATTTACTGTTGACTCTCAGCAGGTATCTACTCCTAACCTGCTGCGGCTGGCTGACTGCCGGCCTGTGTGTCTGCTGCTGCTGCTGCTGCTGCTGTCTGGCCTTGGTGAACACTCTGTGAAATAACACCTACGCCTCGCTGAAATACCGACTGCATTGCCCATAACATCATACTGATGGCACTAGCTTTGTTAAAAAAAATATATATATATATATTAGAAACCAGTCCCTGGAATAAGCCAGCAGCTTATTTTATCATGGAATGTTATTTCAACTTTCTTATTTTCACAGAAGCAAGGTTGCCTGGGATTTCTTTTCATTTTATTAAAGATTTTGTGAATACCTGCCTATGTTTAATAAAGGTATTTTTCTCAGTGTTGCTTTGACTTCGCAGTGACAGTTATGAAATGGCATGATGCCCCCTCCCCTTTTCAGCCAATTCTTGTTTTTTGGGGTTTTTTTTCTAACTGATTGCACAAAGTAGTCCATAATGATACAGCAAAAACAGCTTTTTAGAGTGTTTAGTACATTTATTAAAAATAAAAGACTGAAGTATTTGTTCTACATAAATACCAAGCCTCTGGACACTCAAAATTGTGCTCTCTTGTATGCTGCTATAACCAGTGGTCCTTGAGATGCCTGTATAATGTGACTGGGGTCCACCTGTGATTAACTGAAATTATTGGAAATAAATGGAAAAAGGCACAAACTCAATGGAAAGTCTTAAGCAGCTTTCATACAGGACATCGTATACGCTGTGCTTGCCGTGGGTTTCAGCGTACAGCTCCTGGGTTTTCAAAACTTCCAGCGAGGTGACATCGCCATCATCTCAAGCTGGAAGCTTCCAGCTTGTTGCAAACACTTGTGAATGTATTTGTCCTGTGCTAAGCAGCAAGCATTAGCACTATTCACTTGTATTCAGTTTCACGTATATAGTGCCAATTCACAACATGCCATCTCAGAGCACTTAATAAAGTAAGGTGAAGACCTTACGCACTGTCCTTGCTATTACAACAACTTTTCTCCCCGGGTCTCATTACAACTGCAAGGTTGTGTCATATAACTCGGGGAATTCAGACCATAGACTGATTCAGACCTACACAGCACTGGATTCTTCACTTTGCCCTCTATGCAGGCGAGATGCCTCGTTTCTATTGGCTGTACTGTCAAAGATCATAACGTACAAGGGTCAAGTTTAACAAGTTTGAACTTTGACTGCGACGACCTGCGCGCTGCGCTACACTTGTGCTTGTGCTATGCTCAGCGTGTCTGCCAGTTCATGGTGTATGTTAGAGAGAAAACAGCCATAAGGTCGACAGAACTGTGTGTAGGCAGAATAAGGCTGCTCTGCCAAACTGAGTAATAGGGAATAAAGCGCCATGGTCAAACAAGTAACTGAAAACCCAGTGGTCAATATGATAAGCTCCAGATTTCCTTTATGGAGATGGGAAAACCTTATATAATAGGTAGAACCTTATAAAAGGAAAACCACTCCAGTGTACCAATCTGTGTACCAATAAGACCTTGAGGGTAGACTGGCCATATGGAAGCTTCTCTTCACTAAAAGGCACATGAGGTTTTGTCAAAATGCACAAGAACAACTCTCAGACCTTGAGAAACAAAATCCCATGTTCTGATGAAACAATAATTGGACAATTTGGCCATGATTTCCAGTAGTGTGTACGGAGGAAACCAGGCGCTAAGCATGACCACATTATTGCCTTCCTACAGTCAAACATGGTGGGGGCAGCATCATGGACACGTCTTTCTGCGACAGGTTCTTCAAGATTAGGCAGAATAGAAAGATGGATACAGAAAAATACAGAGCCATCCTGAGGAAAAACTTTATCTGCTATGCTCAGAATTTCAGGCTGGGGTGAACGTTGACATTTCAACAAGACAAGGACTAGAGGTATACCACCAAGAAAACACAGGAGAGGCTTTTTGAAAACTCTGTGAAAGTCCTGACCTAAACTCAATAGAGCATTTCTGTAGAGAACTGAAAATGGCTGTGCACCAACAATGTCCCTTCAACCAGGTTGAGCATGATTGAATTCTGCCAAGAAGAATGAGAGACCTCCAAAGAATGGTATGCCAAGACCTGTAGGATCATTCTTATGACGATTTAAGGATGTCATTGCTGCCAACAGTGCTTTAAGTTAAAATTCAAAATACTTGCATTTCAGTCTTTTTTAGAAAATAAATTAGCAAAAGACTCCAAAGACCTGTTTTTGCTTCATCATTGCAGTGTTGTGTGGTGATTGATGTGTAAAAAGTTTTAATATAAATCTGAAACCAAAAAAAAAATGTGAAAAGTGTCTGAAAATGTGTACTCACTGTATTTATGTAATATTTAATAGCGGCTCCTTACTGTAACACTTACTCATAAAGATAAAACGGTGGTTGATTTCCTTTTGACAATGGCCTCTCCCTAAGCACAACCTCAGTGTTATAGCTGGATTAAAGTTTAAGCATTAAGTACACTTAAGCACTAAGCACTTTACACTTGATGCCCCGGGGAGTTTCTATGAAAGTCTTGACTACCAACAAGAAATAGTTATATTTGACATCTTAGAGGAGATGAGGCATAGCATCCACCCAGAGCTCCCAGTCCCCACAGATACAGTATAAATTCTCTAAAAGCAGAAAAGTACATTTATGTAAGTTTGTTTAGGAAAAAAAATGTTAATATTTTGTGTTTGCTTTATGCTGCAGCTGAAACTCTGTACAGAACGTCGGATCCTCAGTGATGGGAGTGAACTATTCATTATGCTGCTGACCTGTCAACACTCACGAGAATGTGTTATTTAAATTCGACTGTGTAGGTCTTTGCTCCAGTCTTAATGCTGAAAACAAATTGCTGTTGTTTTACATCACATGCTCTCCCAGCACAGTGTACGTCCCAAGTTACACTATTGCAGGCCCTTTATTTTAATTTACCCTGGTAGAAGCCAAGAAATGTGGAGAAATATATTTATATTTAAATGGACTCTTGCTGTTTTTAGCTTCTTGCCACCTCTTTGTTTTGCAAACCAATTAAACATGTTTGTACTGGCCAACATTCTTCATTTACACTTTAATTAATTTTATTTTCTCTGCTTACTGCTCAGTCTGTGTATCTGTAGTGTATGTGGACTCTTAGCGTCTTTCACAGAATCTAGACGGTTATCTGATGGGACCTTGGGCTAATTTGAATGTGCTATTGGTCTATCTGGATACGGTTTTTACAGGACTCCATCTGGCATCAGTGGGCATTATTTTAGAGCTCTTCCCACTAAGACATTAATATGTTGCTCTTTGCTGTGCTGAAAGAAAATCATCTTGGACTTCTTGGGCAACAAATTAAAGTAGGTTGTTTGAATTCACAACTGGCTAGGCTGCAGGGCTGTTCTGTTTCAAACTATAATTCATGGAATCATAGCCTTGGAACATGATAACTGCCTTTCAATCAATCTGTTCTGCATTTCCATTCATTTGCTGAGCTTTCAAGCAGTCAAATTAGTCACTCCTTGTCTCTGCTGGAAACATTTTAATCTTCAAAAACATCACCTTGAGCATAATTATGTCTCAGTTACACCAAAAGCAGAGGGGACAGAGAGGGGGTTTGTCCGAGCTTTACCCACGAGTGATATCCCTAATAACATGGATATAATGAAAGGCTATACGCTATACTCCAACATCAAAAGCTATTGTCTAATTTTGGCCAGCGGGATGTGACAAATCCGTAATTAAAATAGCAAGCTGAATGATAAAACAAAGCCACTTGCTGGGAGACAGCGGATCCAGCTAGATATGGATCTGTCATTAGGCTAAAGAATTGTCCTTTGCCTTTTCTGCCTTTATCTCCCTAATGCGGCTACATTTCCCCAGGATTGGCCTTTTTTAGCTTTTTCGGTTAAAAAAAAAAAAAAGAAAAAGAGCTGATCTCAACAAACGTCCTCATCACTCATGGCTCGCCTGTTTACTGCAGCAAAGTCGAGGGCATCGGTTCAACCGGAAGATGAACCAACTGCATGACAGCACTTAGTGTTTTTGAATTGGCACCAGAATGACAACCATGGTACCACTTTTCTAATAAAAAAAACAAAAAAAAATCACTGTCTCCAGTTCATTTACAACCGCATCTGTACGGGTTCAAATAGAGGGCAACTATAATGGGATGATATTTACGTTAGTATTTCATGTTCTCTCCTGTGGTGAGAGACCGACAGCAGCATTTCCAGGTGCCAGAGCCTAAACAGCCAAGATAATGTGTGCTTTGTTTTGTGTGACTAGAACTCTTTAACCATTGGTACCAATAAATACAATGTTTTGTAGATCAAACACTCATGAATAATACATGTGGTAACGGCACAC